GGATGATGGGTGATAGCCAAACTTTTCTGAAAAATGAATGACAGAAAAAGTCTTAGTCATGATAGAGAAGCGATGTCTTACGAAAAGCAATTTGCCATCAGAAACCGTGGCTGTGAGAAGGACGTGGCCCGACATTTTTCAAGTGCTGAAAGGGCTATTAACGCAGAACCCTATGTCCAGAAAATATGGTAAGAAATGTAATGCGATACAGTGGTGTCTCTGTTTACAAACTTAATTATTTCCACATTTCTTGTTACAAACCGAATTGGACGAGAACTGAGTCAAATTCAATGGTTGAGGTTCAAGGTTGACCTTATGGGGAAGTTTGATTTGGTTCTCGGCGAGTTTTGTTTGTGATCAGAATTGTGGAAAGAGTTAAGTTTGTGAACAGAGGTGTCACTGTACTTTAACCACTAAACGTTCAGACAAGGAGATATATCCCCCCAAATTATAGAGAAATCAACACAATTTTTAAAAATATTCAAGTAACCCACAGGAAGGCAAGAAAAAGTAAAATCACAGACCAAAGTCTTAATGTATTAATAACTGCATTAAATATAAACAAATTAAAAGACAAAAATTGGCAGAGAGGACAAAAAAAAAAAAAAAGACCCAACTATTTACTGTCTATAAGAAACTTACTTCAAATAATAATATAAAGAAAATGAAAATACAAGGGTGGAGAAAGACATACCATACCTACATTAGTTAAAAAAAGTGAAAGTAGCAATATTAATATTAGGTAGCATAGACTTCAGAGAAAATAAATGACCAGAGACAAAGAGAAACATTACATAATGTCAAAAACAATGAGTTCACCAAGAAAATATATAAATCCTAAATGTGTACGCAACAAACAGCAGAGCCTCAAAAAATATAAAGCAAACCCAATAGGATTGAAAATAGAAATAAGCAAATCCACAATTATAGTTGAAAGTATTAATACTCTCACAACAATTTGGAGAACAACTAGACAGAAATCAGCAAAATTATAGAACAACCAACAGCATCTAATCAACATTTAATCCAATAACAGCAGAACAAACAGTCTTTTTCAAGGACCTATGGGATATATATCAAGGTAGATCATGTACTGGAAAATAAAACAAACCTCAAAAAACATGAAAGAATTGAGATTATACAGAGTGTGCTCTCTGACCATAATGAAATTAAAATAAAAATCAATACCAGAAAGATAACAGGAAAATCTCTAGATGCTAGGAAATTAAACTACACACTTTTCTTTTTGAGACAGGGTCTTACTATGTAGCTCAAAATGGCCTGGGACTCAGTAAGTAGCCCAGGCTGGCCTTGAACTTGCATCGAACCTCCTGCCTCAGCCTCCCAAGTCCTGGGATTACAGGCTTGGGACACCACACCTGGATAAACTACACACTTCTAAATAATACAGGAGTTGAAGAGGAAGCCTCAAGGGAAAATTTAAAAAATACACCTAACCTAATGAAATTTTAAGCACAACACATCGAAATGTATAGGACACAGCAAAAACAGTGTGAGAGGGAGTCTGTAACACTGACTCCTTACATTAGAAAGGACAAGGGCTGGGCATTGAGCTCAGTGGTTCTGCTACCTGCCCCGCAAGCACAAGGACCCAAGTTCGATCCCCGGTACCAAAAAAAAAAAAAAAAAAAAAAAAAAAAAGACAAGTTTTAAGCTCATCTAAGCTTCCATCTTATGAAATTAGAATCGTAAGTGCAGAAATATCTGAAAGCAATCAGGCAAAAGGGGATAACAAAAATAAGAACATAAAACGATTGAAAACAAATACAGAAAAATCAGTGACACCAAAACTGATTCTTTGAAAAGATCTATGGTTGAAAAATATCTAAGGCAAGACATAAACTCCCAATATAGGAATAAAAGTAAGCATATCAGTGTGGACCTGGCAGGCATCAGAATAATGACAGAATGCTACAAACAACTTCACAAGGGTACACTTCGCAACTTAGGGTAAAAAATATTTCCTTGGAAAACACAAATAGCTAAAGCTTAGCCAGTGTGAAATCAATGATTTATTTTTATTTATTTATTATTTATTGGTTTTTTGAGACAGGGTCTCACTACGTAGTTGAGACTGATCCGGAACTCACTATGTAGCCCAGGCTGGTCTCAAACTCAGAGATCCTCCTGCCTCAGCCTCCCGAGTGCTGGGATTACAGGCGTGTGCCACCACGCCTGGCTGAAATCAATAATTTAAATAACCCTGCAATTATCAAAGAAATTGAATTCATAATTGAAAGCCTCCTGAAAAAAGAAATCTCTTGACCTGGATGGTTTCACTGGAGAATTCTGTCAAACATTTAAAGAATCAACACCGATTCCACACAATTCCTTCCAGAAAACAGAAGTATTTTATGATGCCAGTGTTACCTTGATATCAAAGTAGGTGAAGCTAGAATTTATTGAATCTTGAGAATTGGGCAAATCTAGTATAGATTTTTTTAAAAAACTCGACTCAATTGCTTCTCGGCCTTTTGGCTAAGATCAAGTGTAAAAACACGACTCAATAGTTGACAAAATACAAAGCAAAACAAAAAAAAATTAGTGATCAATAGAAGATTTGATGAACCCAAGTGACAAGCTCAGTGTACCGTCACCCATAGCGTCCATTTTTCTTGAGCACTCGGAGCACTCGTAAAAGCTTAGCTGGGTACTGGGGAAAGCAACCCTCAACAAAACTGAGGTAGGAGACCGGGGATTTAGCTCAGTGGTTCCGCCTCCCCCCTCGAAAGCGTGAGGACCTGAGTTCGACAAAAGATTCACTGGAGAAAGAGAAAAGGCACAAAAGACCCAGAGTGGGAGAGGCAGGGACATAACATACACTCTAGGAAGCCCAGGGAAACCCTGGGTGCCTGGTGCAGACCACAGCAGATCTGTTGGCCTTTGAGGGGTCCCGAGAGAAGGGACACGCACCCCATACAATCTTTTGGGGGAAGCAACTTGCGCCTGTGTGTGTTTCAAGCTCTCGCTGGCAAACACAATCCAGGCATGGCCAGAGAAGTAAATGGGCCCCAGGGCAGCGGCTCCCCTCTTCCTGTTGTCCCCTGGTGGGAGCAGAAGCTGTCCAGCTACACAGCCGCCTCACCTGAAAGTGGCCGCGCCGTTTGGCACCCGCACCTGCGAGGCAGGTCCCGGATACTCTGTGCCCTCGCCAGAACCTGCCATGTCCTGTCCCCTGGCGGTGGCCGTCCTAGTGGGCTGAGGCCGCCTCCAGTCTGCTTTGATATTCATTTCCCCGCTGCCTAGCGAGGATTTCAGAGAGCTGATCGGCTGTTCATACGTCTTTTTGGAGAATTTCTACTCGAGTCTTTCGTCCATTTTGCAATTCAATTTATTTTATGGCTGAGTTGAAAGAGTTCTTTACATAGTCTGCATATTGGATCCTTGCCAGATACTCGGTTCACAATATTTTCTCCTTTCCAGGGAGTGGTTATTGCACTTTCTTGATTACGGTCCCTTGAAGCCTGAACATTTGGATGCGGTCCAGTTTAAATATTTTACTTCGATTGCTAAAATCAAATTAAGAGAAAAGATGAGCCAGCAACTGTGAAACGTAACTAAAGTAGTTATATTTTTTAGAAAAGCATCCACATAAGCACAGAGTTCTGAACATTTAGCAACAGGCTTTGCGAGCCAACCGACCACACAGAAATAAACCCTTAGGTGCAGCGCTGACCGGTTCCCACGGTGGGATGTCCCCACCACCCCGGTTTATAGCTACCAGGGCACCTTCACGGGGCAGAGCTGGAAGAGATGGGCACAGGGTTACCACAGGAAGCGGTACCATAGGAATGGGGACCTCAGATATTCCTGAGTCCATGTCCTCCAGTCCTGCACCGCATGGACTTCTGAACCTCCTGTGTCTTTGCGCGAAACAGGCTCCGCTGACCCCTCTACACTGGGAGAGCAACAGAGGCTCAGAGAGGGCCAGAAACACACCAAGAACTCACAGCAGAGCCTGGCAGAACTGCACGGGGCCCAAGCTGTGCACTTCCATCCCAGCCCTGGTGTGTGCCAACCTCACGCCGGCCTGTGAGTACTCTTCAGCTCAGCCTGACCCTCCTGTGGGCTCCAGCAAGCCCCAAGGCCTTGAGTGCCTGTGCTTGCTCCACTCTCCCCAGGGCACTTGGGGCCCATGGCTGGGGCTGCTGGGGCTGGGCCATGGCGCCAGACCAGTGGGCAGAGAGGCCAGAGGCTCTGTCGCTCCCCGGAGGAGGCAGGCGGCCCCAGGCCCTTCCAGAGGGAAGCTGCAGGTGCAGGCGGGGAGTCTAATCTGAGCTGCTGTTCCGGTTAAGCGTCTCCATGTCTTCCAACCGCCCTCTCCTCTCACCTAGGCGTCTGGCCTCCCAGTGCCCGGGAGCCTCCCTGGAGATAATGAATGGTGGTTCCTATGCTCAGCCTGCAGGCAAGCAATGCTCAGTAAATACTACGTCCTCCTCCTTCCCCGGCCTGCAGCGTGGTTAACTTAGGGCCACTGGTGCAGGTGGAGGTGGGGATGGGGTGGCAGCTGTGTGACCTTTTGTGCTCCCTGAGTCCCACCCTGGCCAGGGATATTGGGCTGGGACTTGGGTTGCCAGATTGGAGCCAGGTGCACAGCCCCCACAAAAGGCAGACCCCAAGTACTGTAGCTGCTAATGCAGACGGTTCTGATACCCTGAGCTGTCCCTAAGAAGGCTGCTCGAGGTGGGGAGTGACAGCCCTGGCCAGGACCCGGGACATCAGGGTCAGCTCTGATCTGAGCTGCTGCGCTCTGTGACATTGGGCAGGTCACTTCCGGTCCCTGGTCCTCACCATATTCCTACCCTACCGAAGGGGAGAGTTACGCCGACTCCTCCCGATGGTCCCGTCGAGGCTGCGGCCTCCAGCCTTACACAGGAGCTATGGCCCAAGCCAAAGCTGAACCTCTGCGGGTACTTTTGTTGGTGCACACAGAAACTGTGCCCCAGGCTCCCTGGGCCAGACCCATAAACCAGGCCCATAAAGGCCAGCGGTGAGGCAGCTGGACTCCCTCAAATAAAAAGCAGGTTCCCAGTGGGATTGAGAAAGGCCAGTTCCAGCAGCTCTGAGACAAACCACCTCTGGGGCAGAGGATGTCTGACAGCCAGGGCTTCCTGGGCCAAGGGTGGGGGAGCCGGCTCCCTTAGTCATGGCCGCTCCATGCTGCCTCCACAGGTGACCCGGGTTCTGGGCCTGCCTCAGTGTGGCCTTGGCCCTGTCTCCCTCCTCTGGGCCTGTCCGGGCCCTGGCGGGCTGCCCTGGACGGTGACAAGGCTGAGGGCAGTGGCCTTTGAGGGCACGCTTTCCCAGGAGGGAGGCGGGGTGCCGTCCCCGGGTGACCCGTGCCCCACCTTACCTCCCGTCTCAGCGCTGGTCTCCCACCTGGGCCAGGCCTGGCACCCGTGGGCTGACTGCGCCCTGCTGTGTGGGCTGCTGTCCCCCTTGGATGGGTGGGCGCTGTGTCCCCAGAATCAGGCTGGAGGCTTCCTGAGGAGCAGATCTGTCGCAGTCCGACCGGGAGAGCAAGAGCAGCACAAGCTTCGTGCCGGCCATCAGAAAGGAGGCCCCTGAGGGTCAGTGTGGCTCCGGATCATAGCCTCCGGCTGGGCAAATGAAGGTGATGGATTGGCTTAACTTGTACATTAAAACCGGAGCTTTTAAAATCTCTTGCAGTGAGTTGCTGCCTCTAGAAACTTTGACCTCAAGCCTTACCCGACGGACACATGGCTACCTGATCTTTTCCGGTTCCCACCCTGGCTCAGGGCGTATATTTTCTATAGGGAAAAGTGCAGTTGCTTAGTAAATATCACACACACACACACACACACACACACACACACACACAGTAACATGCATACAATTTGGATGACTGACTTAGTGCGTCTTTACATGGAATTACAGCTGTGCAGCCCCCACCCAAGCCAACATACGGGACCTTCCCAGCGCTCCAGAAAGCTCCTTCATCCAGCTGCTCGGCAGTGCCTCCCCTGCAACCTTCACCGCCATACATTAGTTGTGCTTGTTCCTGAGCTCTGTATAAATGGAATCATAGCATGTTTAGTCTTTTGTGTCTTATCATCATGTCTGAGATTTATTGCTGATATTGCAGGGAGCCCTAGTGGGCTCTTTATCTTTGCTGTATAGTATTTCGGCGTCTGAGCGTGCTACAATACGTGTTTCTATTTCTCGATTGATAGACATTTGTGGCTCTCACAAGTTAAGCTGTTGCAAACATTCTCGTATGTGTCTTTGGGTGGAAAGTGATCGCAGTCTACCGGGGCATGCAGGAGTGGCACTGCCGGGTGATGGGAAACTGCAGTTTTGCTGTAACAGGCCCTGCCAGTTTGCCACCACGGTGCCTCCGGTTTGCACGCCGACGATCAGTGTTGTCATCGCTCCATGTCCTTGGCATCATCGCTTTTAATTTTAGCCATTCTGCTGGGGAGGGTGGTGGAGTCTCCTTTGGGTTTTACTATGCTTTTTTCTGGTGATTAAGGAAGTCGGCCCCCTGTTCGTGAGCTTAGAAGCCAACTGGAACAAAAGCACATCTTTCAAGTTAAAAATTACTTTGCTCGTTGAAAAACTGGGAAAGGGGCTGGGTACTCGGCTCGGTGGGAAAGCGAGCACTCGGCATGTCCGAGGCCCTGGGTTCAAACCGCGTCACCAAAATAAAGGGGTGAATGAGGGTGGGTGAGGGCTTCGACCTGCCCCTCTTCGGTCTCTTCACCTTCATTCGCAGGGGTGGATTTATAAATTCTGGATGTGGTTCTTTGGGCGGCTCTGTGCATCGTGCGTGGTCCTCCCTCCGACGACGCGGCGACGGGGCTCACTCATCCATTCCTGGTTCCAGAAGTAACCACAATAGACAGGCCAGGCCCTGCCTTTCTTGCTAAGATTTGGCCCCTGTGCTCCTGGAGGGCTCAACTCTAGCTGAGGCGACAGCACTTGGAAAGAGCAAGAAACCATGGTGGTGGTGAAGGGGCAGCCAGGCCCCTCGCCGCCCTCGCCGAGCTCCATGACGTCTTCTGCAATTTTCTTTTCTTCTTATTTTTCGGGCCGGGGATTCGGCTCAGTGGTTCAGCCGCCTGCCTCGCAAATGCAAGGTGCGGAGTTCGATCCCCAGTACCAAAACCAAAAACAAATAGGACCCTTTTTCTTCTTTTTAAAATCTTTATTAAGCTTACTGGTACATTTTAGGTACACAACGCAGTTACGTTCGTCATCGGGATCTTGTATCTTTACGTGACTTCTCTTGGTTCTTATTTTTCCCCATTCCCAGCCCTCCCTTCACCCCCTCCACTCTTCCCTCTTTACAAAGACATTGATTCCATATTTTTCCTTTTCACATATTTTTGTTTTCCCTTTTTACTTTTCCCCTACCCCTCCCGCTTTCTCTACTCTTTTAGACTTTTCTTCCTATTGCACAATATCAATTACACATTTTGATCCTTATCTACACTTTCAGTTTTCACACCAGAGAAACTATTCGGTACACATGTGTGACTTACTAATTTCACCTAAGAGTATGGCCTCAGTGCGCATCTACTTAGCTCTAAATATCTCTAGTTTCTTATTTATTTATTTATTTATTTTTGGTTTTTTGGTTTATTGAGACAGGGTGGGTCTCACTATGTAGTTGAGACTGACCTGGAACTCACTATGTAGACCAGGCTGGTCTTGAACTCACTGCGATCCTCCTGCCTCAGCCTCCCAAGTGCTGGGATTTAGTTTCTCATTCTTTATGGCTAAGTAGTACTCCATTATATACATATACATACATACACATATACATACACACACACACACACACACATATATATATAT